CTGCTGTTAGTGTTCTGTGGTTATGGTAAGAGTTGGAGGCCTTGATCATTGCCTCCTTAAGCACAGAAGAACATATGTCCCTGTCCCAAAGTATTTGCATTGGATCATTCATGGCCTTTTAAGCACATAGCAAATTATCTTACTACCTCCAAGGGACATGAGGATCTTCACTGCATGTGCAAGTCACATGTAGGAAACCTCCTGCTGGCTCTCAGCAAGTAAAGGTTGACCAAATAATTGGTGTAGCTCTCAAACTGGCCTCTCCCTAATATTCTGCTTTTAACTGCTGAACTTTGATGCACTTTCTAGTGAAGGAATAATGTAACTTGAGATGAATCTTGGCGACAATGTGATCTAGCATAGAAAGAATTGCCTGCCGCTATGGAAATAACTTGTGTGAGGTAGAAGCATTTGATTAATGAAATATCACCATTCCAGTTGCATAAATGAACATATAAAAATGGGTGATAATGACACATAGCTTGGTAAATTTTCCTGTCTTCTCAATGCACATTCAGATCACCTCAGCAAAGACCTCTTTGCTTTCAGTTGTTAATTCCTGTTTTTTGAAAGAGTTATGTGCAGATATTGCAGCCTTCCTCCTGTAACTGCTGACTCGGTACTGACCATGCTGGATGTGATTCAGAGTAATGAAGAGGAGATTACCAGTTTCTTATATGGACAGAATGAGCAGAAACACTTATGCTTTCTATTATAGCTTACCTCATCAGAGCTACTTTTGAAAAAATAGTATGTTTTAAACAGTCTTTCTTTGTCTGGGTCAGTCTGCACAAAGGAGGGAGCTAGAATTAGTTATTGCCACGTGTACACTTTTGAAGCTTGCTTCTGCAAATATTATTACAACCTGGATATCATTTCTGTAATTTAAATAAACTATTGGCACTTTACTGACCTCACTCCTTTGCAGCTATTTCAGGAATTAGCTCTCCCTCTTGTGGTTACTGTCAACAGCTCCAGTCTGTTATAGAAGATTGAATCGTGCTCTCAGACTTGCTCACTGTAGTGCTTGCTTGAGATTTTTCTGTGCTCTGTTTATTAGCTACAACAGGAGACAAGCTTGTGGAAAACAGCTTCCAAAGCATTCTTCCAACAGTACGTGAGTTCTCCCTGCATTTGCTAAAGCCTAGAACAGAATGTATAGATGTCAGCACAAGTTTTGTTTTGAATACTTTTCCCATGAAGGACATCACTATTCCTTTAAGGAATGATCTCTCATTGAAGACAGTCAAATTTAGCCATTCATCTACCACATAAATATTAATTCGTAGCTACTAGATTTATTTATTTATTTATTTATTTATTTATTTTTGTGGTGGTGGTAATTTGAAATTGTGTTACAAATGCCTGTCCTGTCAAAGCCTGCATACTAATTGTAAGTAAATGTGACTCCTCATCTTTATAAGGAAATAATATTTTAATCTCAGGACTGTCACTTTACATTGGGAATGATGAATGCTGGCAGCGGTGTCAAACAGCTCATCACAGCTGATGCTTAAAAGGCTCTCAAGCTTGGTTAATTGGTGAAACATTAAGGAGACAATCAACAGTCTAGTGAATGATTCCATTTGTATTTCTCCCATTCATAAGAGTCTGTGCTATTTTACTGAAGAATTAGTATTTTGTGGGAGAATATAATTCAGCAGGTTATGGGGAGCCCTGTTTTGGAAGTAAATTAAAGGAAGATTGATTTTTTAATTAGTGTGTACATAAATCCAGATTTTCAGAAATGCACTTTGAACTCAGAATTTCCAGAATAATTTGCTTTTTATTAATGGCATTAACAGGCAGATTTGCAAAGATCACCATGTAGTAGTTTTGGGAAGTGTGGCTAAATGCAATTCTTAAAACCATGGTCCAAAATAGGGCAGATTTGGGTTTATTTTCTCATGGTGGTTTTCTTTGAAAATCTAGCCATGTCAGTCACAGGTATTGCTGCTGAAATTTGCTTACTGACAAACCTGGAGTCAGCCTTTCATAGTGGAACTGTTCTTGAAATGTTGTTGCTATGATCTCAGTTAAAGCTGCCATTCCTAGCTATCCAGGGGTCTGTTTATGAAGTGTATTGTAGGCAAGTCACTGTCTCTAGCTTCAGGCTTAAAGTAAGCTATATGAACAATGTTAACATGGCCTCAGTGGGTTCCTGCTGACTACCCTGTGTGCTCTTCCTCTCATTGGGTCTGTTTAGCTTAATACCACACTGTCAGCACCAAGCACACATCTGCTGGCAAAATATTGTGTATAGATATCTGTTTTCCTGGCAGCAGCCTCCCCAGACCTCTGAATCAAGCTGGTTTCCCTAGGCACTCATCTGTTGCATCAGACTTCTTTTCCCTGGAGGTGGAACCTTACAGGTTTGCCACTGAGATGAAGCAAAATAAATCCATTGTCACCATCTGCGTTGTTTAGGACCTAGGTGCTCTGTGGGACTTCAGAAGAATTAAACTAGTTTCTTCTTTTGCTAAGACCTAAGAGCTGCACTGAGTCAAATTAAATCCCCACATCGTTGGGTCATGTCCCTGATCCTGGATCCACCTCGTGTTTGAATTTTTTAAGCATCTACTTAAAGCATAACTTCTGCATAAGCCCAGGCTGCAGAATTTGCTTACAATATAGCACTGAGAGAGCACCAGACTGTAATGTGCATATCAGAAATGCACCTGTTGTATAAATATTGTAAGGATAAGAGGAATTGTCTTGGCAATAGATTCTGTCAGAAGTTCCCAAATCTAAATAGCCTCCTACCAGTTGGCGTTTCAGGTACGTACTCACTGTATCTAAATAGCAACTGAGAGGCAAAAAAGCAATAGGGAAGCTATAATGTGTGTGTTTTGCACAGCAATTAAACTCTTCTAGTGTAAAAATTACCAGTGTGCCGTAATACCCAATTTCTGCTGTGGCATGGGATGGAATTCTTGAACTTATAGTGAATTTGGAAAGCAATGAATTCTCTTTCTCACCCGCAATTGTGTATGTTGCACATGATAAACTTTTACAAACAGCTTCACTCTCTAAAGGTGTAAAATTGCACTGACATAAAATAACAGTCTAATTGAAGGAACTTCCTCAGGAGGTACAGAAAAAGAGTTATAAAACCGTACGCCTATGTAACAGAAATTGCCAAACTGTATATAGTTAACTGAAGCATGTTCTGAGTGCTGCTTACCGCACAATCGTGGGGCACTAAATCATTTGTAGATTGTCTGATTCTGAGTCAGTGCTTCATACATAGCAAAGCAGCTCTCTTATTGTGATCTATTGAGATACAGCCCCTTGACTACCCCGCACTAATCTCCCCCCACCTCACACACACTGAGGATGTACCAGCAGCTCCAATGTAGGTTGAAACTGTGAACAGACAACCTTGCTAACCCACCAACTCTACATCTCAATGAAGGGAAAGCTTTATGGTCTACATAGCATGTTGATTACATGGTACTATTTAAATCATCTGGGAGATATTTATACATCCTCACAGGAGTGAAAGCACTCTTTAACTTGATAAAAGAACTACGTCAGAAAGCCGGTGGGCAAAATACAGCCAAGGGTTATTGCTTTGGTTCTCAAATCAAACTAGTCTTGATTATATCTAAAATGATAATGGCTCACATTCTTTGTGTAAGAAAGTGCAAAACTGAGCAAAACAAGAAAGAATTAAATGGGTATTTTACACCCCATATTTCAGTGCTTCACCTGCTAAGAATAGAATATCTGACATTGCAGTGAAACCAGCCTGTGATGGTCAAATTAACATCTATTGATGCTGTAGTTATGATTTTTAACTAAATCTTGTAGTCCTCTTAACAGAATAGTAGTGCCACTTAACATAAAATTAAGGCATAATGAATCTATGCCTTCTTTTTAATGGGCAGCCAATTCAGAATTATTTGCTTTTACAACACCCCACAGGATAACAAATGGAAATGCTGTGTTCGTGCTGCCACCCCAGTCTCTAGTAACGTTCTACTGTTGTCCCAAAGACTGGCCTCTCTAGCTTGTTGAGCAATGAGCTGATGTGCACACAGGCACAAGATATTTATTTTATTTCTGCATAGAGATGAGTGCTGATTAGTTCATTCACAGGATTACCATGCCTTCTCTGTAATGCTTCTTGTACCAGCAACATACTGAATGAACTTTCTTGGATTTATTTCATCTCATTCTGTAATTATGCTTGGATCAATGGAACAACCATAGCTTTTATATAGGAGTCTGTGTATTCATTATTCTTCAGTTTTTCACCTTGCCTTCACTAAAGTTGGAGGTCTCACTCCTAATTTCAGTGGGAACAGAACTGAGGTATTTCTTATGTTCCCTAACTGGAAGGAAGTTGTTTCGATAATCACAGGTGCTAAACAGAGCAAGCCAATTATGTATCACATTGAGTAGAGGAAAAGAAAAAGTATGCTTGAAGGTAGGTATGAGTCTTTCCAGGAAAGCTCTTTGATCTGCATGATGTTTTTGTCCTTTAAACTCTCAAACTATGAGCAAACAACATGAAAATGACACTGGTGAGATATTTTTCATCATTTTCAGCAATCATAGTTTATCTCATCTGTTTATATTAATAACCCTTTGCAATTCTGACACTGAAATCTGTTTTTTCCTAAGAGTGTTCTCCTCAATCACCCATGCACAAACACACAAACATGTAGTTAATGGGAGGCTGCTGACAGGGAAATTAGCTTCTATCCTCCTCCCCCCCTCTTTTTTTTTTTTTTTGCTTGTTTGTTTTCATCTTGTTTTATACCAGCAAAAGAGATGAAGCACTCTGTCTTGAGGAATTCATGCAAGGACACTCAACACTGGAAGTGGCTGAAAGATGTCTGGGATTTGCATTCCACAGCCTGAGCCTCACAGCCATAAGGAGAGAGCAGAGACAGGGGAAAAGAAAGAAAGTCAGAATGGTGCGATGTTGGTTTTCTCTGCGCAACGGAGGAAAGGTTGGCCGTTTATGAACATTTGTAGGACTTTGTGATCTTGTGCATGGAAGATTACTTTCCTCTATTAAAATAACTTTTAGTCCATCTTCACCTCCTTCTGCAGGATCTGCCCAAAGACACACACATGGGACTTAAAGTCTGGAAACACATTTTCTTCACCTCAAACCAGGAATGGCTTGGAGCTTCTCAGTTATTGCTCAGGCTTCTAGAGGACTCTATGAAGGTTCAGGTCTCCTAATTCTGTCACAGAAAAAAAGAGAAAATGTCTGAAGACTTGGTGGAGTTATCCACTGCTATGGCACTTACCAGGGGAAGTAGCAGCTTTCTGAAACAAAAACTCAGCCAGGGACCCCAGACCCTGACTTGGACTGCTTTGATTTCATCCTGCATAGCAGTGAATCTCACATATCTTTCTTAGGAATCAGCTGCACTTCCAGCTTATTTCCCACCTGGCCCAAAATCTTAGAGGTAGATTAATAGGCAGGCACTGTCTGACTAGCATTGTCCCAGTGGCACAAAGCAAATATAAAGCAGGTCATAAACACTTTTAAATTGAGTTTATGCTTGCTGCGATGTGCTAGTTACGTAGCCTGCAAGGTAGCAAGGAAATCAAACTACTGTCTTGTTCAAATGATATTCCACTAGAGGGTGTACTTACTTACTGCTTATCAATAATTGTCTTATTGTTTCTTTGGGTTCCTCTAATTCCCATCTGTCTGATGTTTCCATTTGTTGCTTCTAGGTTGATCCTGGAATTGCACATTTTTCATGGAAGGAGCTAATTACTACAGTGCTTTTACTGTGCTCTGGTGATCCATCATTTGCCTTTCTTTGGCTGCTCCAATGCAAATTGTTGTAGTTGTTATGATAGCATGCCTGAAAGAAGAAATTATCATCTCAGATAAAAGAGAAATTCAGAACTTGGAGTTTGAGTCTAGAAGTAATTTTACAGCTGTTTCATGGTGCTCCTTCCAGACTGTTCTCCTATTGTAAGTGTGATGCTATGTGACACGCATATGATTGATTGTACAAGAGGTCAGTGGATTTGAAAGAACCCTTCCTTTCTCTAGGCTTAATATTCACTCTTACACCTAGTTTAACTCTCTTTCATCCCACATGACTCACTTGTTCCTGTAGGTGAAGTTATTTTGATATTCAGTACTCAGAAACTCAGAACTAGGCTTTGTTCTCCCATCACCTCAGCTGATGTCTCATACACAAAAGAAACAGATTCTAGCATGTTTAGCCAAAAAATCCTGCAAGAGTTACCACAAGGCACATTAGAGAGGCTGGATTTTGCATGTATTTACAATTCAGGACATAGTATACTTGTTATTTCTCTTACTTGCCCTTCCCATCCCTCTAAAGGAGAAAGAAGGAGAAACGCAGATGTTAATGCAAAAATCCTACTCCAGGTTTGTGGAAATCACAGAACAGTGAATAAAATGTGTTACAGGTTTTCTAAAAAGGCAGTTGGCTTTAGAAAGTGCTGATATGCCAAAAAAGCTGTTACTAAGAAGGAATATATTCTAGTAAGATTTGAGAATGAAATTACATAATTGCTATTTTCTTTTTAAATCATTATATTACATGAACTTCTAAACGATAAAACGTAAATTGACAAAACAATAATTTTGTTTCCTAAACTTTGTTCTAGAATAGTTTCTATTTTTCAAACTAATTCAAAATAGCTTTTTGACATTTAAAAAAGTTTTCCAGGATGGAAATCCTAGCTTTTTATGTGGCAGGATCATTTAAAAATGTAAGTTAAATTTCGATACATAAAAGAAAATTTGGAGCTTTGTTTTGTTCCTTCAGCTGAAGTTTTCAAAACAAATGAAAAGACTAAAACACATACTTTCTTTAATCAGAAAATAAAATGAAGACCACCTAAACATCCAGCTTCACAACAAAGCTTTTAATTTTGTGTGTGTGATTTGTAGACCAGAAAAAAAAATAAATCAGATTAATCATTAAGTACAAACCTCACATACAATTTGAATGCAAACAAAACAGAAGCAGCTTTAAGTTCTGTGCTTTTTACCCCATCAGAATGTGATACAAGAGCCTGCTTCTCCACTCTACGACTAGAGGTAACAAATGGGTGGTTAGAAATAACAGCTTCCAGTGCATCAACAACAAATAGAAAAATGCATGGGAAGCTCCATGTCAGAAGCATCAGTTTCCTTTGCTCACTGGTTGGCTTGGGACAACTTTTGAAGGAGAGCACTATAGAAATGTAAATGACAATAAGGGAATGAAGATGGTGCATGAAAGTAGGGGAGAAAAACAGTGCAAATAATGTCAGGACTTTAGGATTAACTGATTCATCTTCTTGTTGGGATACAGTGGAGATGGATAGGAGAAGGCAGGAAGAAGTAATCTACCTTAGGAGGCTACTTAATAGAATAATAGCTAAAGCAAAGAGATACTATATAGACATAATTGTGAAATATAATCAGATTCCTATCAGCTTTATGCAATATTGTGTCTTGTGCATTCAAAGGTGAGTAAAAACAGGAGGGACAGTTTTAACAAATACACTTTCCAGATGCTTTTCTTCTTCTTAGTCCTAACGTAACACGAATAAGGGATAATGTTTTAGTTCACTTGTTTTTTCCTACACATTTCTTTCAAGTATCTAGTCTCAGTTTTGTGTCTAGAAAAGTTAGAGAAATCCAACTGTACTAGTTACCCTTTGTTGTCACAGCTGCCAGCAGTAGCCTTCATACTTTTTTTTTTTTTAATTTGAACAATGTGTGTGGTAGAATAATATTACTCAGTGAGAATCACATCCTTCTCTTCTGCCATTCAGCAACTAAGCCTAGAGCTTATATGGTGCTGATTCCTTTACTCACAAGATATAATACCTCACGCTTCTGTCACTGGTATTGGTTTTAGCAGAGTAAAGATTTATTTTGTATGCTGTCAGAAAACAGCCCTCCATTTGGAAACATAGCCTATCTCATGACAAGAAATGAAAAAAAATATCTCAGGCTATGGTCTTAACTTGTGAGATTCAGCAGTTTTTAATGATGCTAGACCTATTTAACCAAAATCTGACTTCTGATTTTAAGTTGATTTCAAACTGCCTTTGGGAATTCACTGGTACAAAAAGGAAGATTAAACAAGAGATCTGTCATAGCACTGTATCTTCTTTCCAGTGTTAAACACAGTAGTGAAACTGAGAAGCGAATCCTGAATGTTGAGTTTCAGAAAAGGAAATTTCTTGGGCTACTCAGATAACTTTTTTTTTGTTTGTTTGTTTTCAAAACAGAGAAACTGCTATTAAGTTATAAATGTAATTTCAAAGCAACTGTGTAATTTGGTTGATTTTTCTCCACTTGTACTACCTTCCCTTTTCCCTGTGTCCTCATGTCGTAGCCAGCATTTACCTCCAAATAATGAATTAGTTTAAAAGATTCTTGCAATGCAGGAGTGTGATATTTGCACCAATGTGCTGTCCTCCACATACCAGACTTGAGCAAGATCTTCTGTGGCATCTCCGTGTTTCAGATTTTTACTAGCATTAGTACTGAAGGGCTAGTTATTGCCTCCTTGATTGGCCCATGCTCAAGCTTGTAAAGAAAGGCCAACCATCCATGAGCAACATTTCACTTTTATTTCAGAGCAATCCAGCACTGGCAAATGGGGTGAATATGGATTACAGAGTAGTGTTTCTAGTTTATTTAGGGAACAAGCAACATACGCTGTCTACATTGTGGTAGCTGGGGAGAATGAGGTAACTAGGCTTAAGTAAGAATTAAGTCCAGAGTTTTGAAGAATTACATCCCTTCTGTCAGGCTGCATCCTGTAGAAACGGGGTATGGCCACATCTTATCAGGACAGTTACACACCCAGAAGTAATTTCAATATTTCAAAATATCAGTATCTTGCTATGAAGCCTTTTTAAAAAAGTGACTAAGCTCAAGTTCTTGTTTAATATACACAAGCAGATGGCAGGAGATACAGGTTCATCTCCTACTGGAATATGATAGGAAGCTGCCTCGTGCAACAGCTTGATTTCTCTGTCCCCCCTTTTGTAAGCTCTGTCTCTTTGGAGATATTTTGCGTATCTGTAGGTTTTAGAATTTGGGCAGCAAGACCTTCGTCTCCGTACAGTGAAATTATAGAGCTACTTCCATTATCTAAAGGGAAGGCTACAAGAAAGTAATAAAGAAGGGGACAAACTCTTAAACAGGCTCTGTGGCAACAGGACAAAGAAATGGTTTCAAACTAAAGGAAGGGATTTTTAGATTGGATATAAGGAAAAAGTTTGGTCTTTTTATATACAATGAGGATAGTGAAGCACAGGAATGGGTTGCCCAAGAGGTGGTGGAAGCCCCATCCCTGGAGACGCTCAAGGTTAAGCTGCATAGCATCTCAGCAACATGATGTAGCTGTGTCAGTCTTAGTTTCAGCTGGGATGGAACTGTTTTCTTCAGAACACCTAGTCTGATTTTGTAGAAGAAAAGCAACATTGATAACACTGATATTTATAGTTTTTGTTAAGCACCATTGTACAGAGCCAAGTCTATATGCAGTGAAGGGCCCAAGGAGTGGGAGGGAACAGAATTGGGAGAGCTGACTTAAATTGGCCAACATATTCCATACCATATCATGCAGAAGGAATTTTGAATGGAGTGCTGGTTCATCTCTTCCTTTCTGCTGCTTGGGGTGGAGGGCAGTAGCTGGGCATTGGATGCTGGGTGGTGAGCAATTGCTTGTGCATCACTTGTTACATACATTTTTATATGTGATTATATATCATAACTATTATCCTTTTCTCTATCTTAGTTTTATCTCAGCTCCCAAGTTCTACTTCCCCCCTCCACCTGCCAGGTTAAACCACAACAATGTATCTGTTCATTGCAGGGGAGCTGGACTAGATGGTCTTTAAGGATCCAACTCAAATGGTTCTCTGATTCTGTAATTCCCTGCAGAACAAAGAATGATCAAGGCAGTTAGAGCTATTTCTACTAAAAAATAAAAAAAAAAAAGCCAAATAATGGTTTCAGTTTTTCAGTTTGCAAAACTGTAATAGAGATGATGAGGAAAAGAAACTGTTGTGTGAGGAACAGAATTGTGCTTTTTTTCTCTGATTGGCATATACAGGAGATAGGAAGATGCTTGTTCACAGATGAAGATACACATTCCCTGGAGCAGCCACATTTATTTTGTATTTACTCTACCTTCTTATATATCTGCTCTGCAGCTCTAGACAGCAGGGAATCATATGCCTCCAATTGAAAGAAAGGGAAAATAATTGCTAGTCATCCTTATCTGCTATAGTCAGTATCATCTTGTAGAAGACATTAGTAGTACTAGATAAGACTGAAAAAATATTCCGAGTCTGAAAATGGAAAAAAGCAATTGAGAAAGTTACAGTAGGAAATAAACTCTTGCCAGATACAGTCGTCCTGTCCACTGACCTTCAAGAACATGAGATGTTGCAGACAACGCGAGAAGATCACTTACGCCGCAATTCTCAGCTGAGGCAAACAAATTTACTGACTGCTTCCACATTAGGAAGTTGGTGTTTTATGAAGCTTAGAACGACACAAGTAGACAGACCCACACAGATGTGTAAGGGACCAAGGGAACTTGACTCATCACCTGGGGTCAAGAGAGAAAGTGGGGAGGTGGGCCAGGCCCTGCAGGAGCAGGGCAGCCAGCTGTTCCACCCATGTCCTTTTGTAGCCACTTACTCTAGAGGAAGTACACAACTACCAGAGAGCCTCACCAAAGGCTCCCAAATGTTCTGGAATCCCTCAGTGTGCAGATGCAGGGGAGTTGCTACCCTGAGGTCAGACTCTGACTAGAGGCAGAACAAAAGCAATAATTGAAAGCAGCGTTAGCTCAGCACAGTTTGC